ATCCTGTGTGAGAAGCTCGGAAACCATTTTATCGTAAACTGTGTCTTTAAGTACTAACAGTACTGGCCCGAGTACTAGGAAGTTAGGTTGGTCTAGGAGGGTATCGACTCAGGGCATGACTACAAATCACAAAAAGACCTTTCCATTCTGACCGGGTTGTCTAGTTTTCAAGAAAGTGAAAAAGTCTCATTCTAAGATTTCATTAATCTGCTTGTCGCTCATGGCAACGTTGTCAGGGTTCCACAGCCGTCTCGGAGTGACTTATCGCAACTGAGTTTAACGGCTCTGATTTGGGGACAACTTCTTTGAATTCGAAGTTGGACAAGATGGAACTCTGAAGTAGTGTATCCTCCCTGTAGCAATAGGGCGTAGATGGTGAAGGGCGGAGTGGCGCAGGTATGGTTTGGGGACTGAATCCCGTCAGAAGCACTGTGGTTGCATCGGTTCACCGTAAGTCATTGTATAGGCCACATACGCATTCAATACGTGACTTGGATTCTGAATGGAAGCGTGGGCGCACCCCTCGGACGAGATTGATCAACGCCCAAAGACTTCTCCTTTGTCTTTTTTTTTCATTTTCTTTGTCCTTTGCGACGCATTGCCTAAACGTGGAGTGAGTAGGACGTGTTGGGAACAGTTTTTGGAATAAGCTCAACAAAGTATTTATCAAATACATTATGTAAACGAATTTCGTGCATGGCCTCTAATCGGCGCTCTACAACTCTTCCCATTACATCAATATGGTTTTCTTTTTTTCCCAGCCATCAGGTGCACAGAGGTAATATTTTTGTGCTCAAGGTGACGAATATCCCGAAACTACTCCTCTTTCTGTTACAATCCAACTAGAAGGCAGCAGTAGGAAAGCTGGTAGCAGAATCTTCAGTGTGTAGGCTCCTCAAGGCTTTTTGTCCACATAAAAGGAATCACTAATGCCTAAACGAACTTTTTATGAAAAACTCCCGAGCATACGGTAACACTATGGGCCTTTTCCTTTATGACTTAACGAACTTTATGGGTGATATTACCTCTCCAAGAATCTGTTCAGAGATTAATCCTCGCTCGTTTCTCTTGAAAAGAAGTAAAATCACGGAATCAAAGTATCCAGGATGTCTTGAACAATTAAAGCAGGCGCAATAGAATAGCGACATGCATTTTACAGCGTATGTCACCGGTGATGTTTGTCACTGCCCATCTCTTCGCTTGCTTATGAGCAATGGGTATTCACAAAGTTTGGAGGTCAATTTTTTACCTGGAATGGCAGGTGATGCCCTTAATCCCAGGTGACGGTTGGGAGTCTTAAATGCTTTGCACGAGGTAGGACAACTGACTATGACAGCGGTCTGAGACATGACGTCCCATGAGACAACTAGCTAATAATTGGCCTGCGATGTGGTCGGACTGGGGCTAGTGCTACTCATTCGTTTGCTTCATTCTTCACTAGAGTACCAACAGATTAACAAGGAAAAGGATTCAGTACCAGCCAAATGGCTTGCTACGGTTCCCGAAAGATTTCAGTCACCCAAGTATGTGGAACTGTGGTTTGACCACCCTTTTTTAACTACCCCTAACCATTTTCTCCGCATTCTAAAAAGTTTTTGAACGGAGTTATGAATTTTTGATCCACTTGAATTAATCACTTTTTCCCTCACACTTCAGTACTTTCATGGATCTTAGCCCCGCCCACTTCCGTGCAAACCCTGCCCACTTCGAGAATTTGACCACATTTATTCCAGTACCTCTGACTTTACCGCATTCTAGAACGCTTCTGAACCAAGTCTGAATGAGCTTTTAGTCTAGCCCGCCCACTCTGGTATAAACTCCACCCTCTTCGAGAATTTCACCACATTGGGTCCGGGAACTTCTCCCCTAACACGGCGTCGCACACGCCGCACCCGCCGCCTATCGCAGGATTGCGATGAAAAATTGGAGCGCGCAATTTGTGAGGTAGGGAGTCCTTTAATTATTTGAACTGGCTGGTCGCTCCCTTCAATTTCAATGCGGTATTGATCGTCGTTCATATAAGAGGAGTCATTTTAATTAATCAAGTCTAATAAGCATGAAAACTAAAAAGAAACAGAAGGAAAAACGATAAAATCCAATGAAAAAGCAAGCCAGTCAAGGAAAAATATCGCGTCCTATCGATTTTCGGGAGGCGGGGTGAGTACGGTAATTGCAGTGACATTCGCCGCATGCCGCAAGGCAGAATGCCGCGATAGGGGAGAAGTTCCGTTACCCCACCACATTTGCTCCATTACCTCTGACTTTACCGCATTCTAGAACGTTTCCGAACGAAGTTGTATTTGTTTCTGAAAAGTAGCCTCCATTTCAATGTACTCCCCGCCCATGTGGGCAGGGCTTAGCGTAGCTTACGCATGCCCGGCACGCATAAGGCCATGCTCACTCTTTTTATTCTTTTTTCTAGCCTTGACGACTTCGTTGAATCGATATAAACTTATGAGGAAAGTGACGCCCACTGCGAGAACGCTCCGCCCATCGCCGATGAATCTCCTTCATTCTAATTGATGAGCCATTCCTCTCCTTTGTTCACGTTTCCCGGCGTCTGAACTGTTATGATACAGAATGAGATAGATTTGCCCATGGCACCGCACAATTCTAGCGCAAGCTCCGCCCCTTGGGGAGGAGCTGCGCTGGAGTCACATGTGCTCTGTTGCACATACCCTATGCTCAACCCACTCCAAACTTGACCCGGCCTCTCCAGGTGTTTCTTGAGGTACTATCGAATTCCGTGACAGACAGACAGACAGAGACAGACAGACAAACAGACAGACACACAGACAGACACACAGACACACAGACACACAGACAGACAGACAGACAAACAGACAGACAGACAAACAGACAGACGCGAGCACTTTATATATAGCAAGGACAATTCGGTGGGTATTCTTGATAGAAAGCCTAGACGCAGCTGTGGAGGGGCAACCCCTCTCCGGAGTCTGTTTGGCAAATGAGGTACTCCAGACGCAATGGAGGCATTGCAGTGGCAGAAGCTTTGCTTTGGCTGTTTTCCTCTAGTTGCTTTTAGGACCAATTGGAGCAGTTTTGCATTTCTTGAGAAGATAAGTATTCGCCGGAAGTGCAGGTGTCCGACACAGCTGCAGCAATCAATCAGACATAAAGCAAAGAACTGATGTCTGGTCCTTTTTTTTNTTTTTTTTGGGATTGTAGCGTGAAAAACAACCTCAGCCTTCAGTTACAGAGTTCTAATGCTGTTTGAGACACTCAAGTGCAGTAGCGTTCCCTCTTATCTACATACTTCTAGACTTGGTAGCTTTTGTTGGCTTTTTCTCGGCCCCCGCTGGCCTCTGGGCGCCAACACATCCATAAAAATACAACTACTGTATTTAATATTTGGGCAAAATGGTGTAGTGGCAAGTGGTCAAGTGGCGGCCGCACTTCAAATACGCATGGTCATGGGTTCGAATCCCGAATCGATATCCGCCCAGGCTGAAAAAGCCTTCGATACCTCTGAGTTGGTTGAACAGCCAATGTATACGTCAGTGCTTTTATCCTCCCAGAAGAGTCTGGGAGGATAAAAGCGCTGACGTATATATTGGCTGTCCAACGAAAGTGACTGTATAGGCCACATGCACATTCAATACGCCATTACCATTCTGAATAGAAGTCGAACACGGGGCGTATCATTCAGATGGGATTGATTAACGTCCAAAGATTTTGTTGAAGTCTTTTTCGTGGTTTTATTTCTAATTTTCTTTACAACAACATGGTGTCTACGCCTTTGCTGGACCTTTCAACCTTTTATTCGAAAGACGCACAGTGAAGTCGTGGCATCTCTGCTGGGTTTTTAGAGCACTGACAGATTTCAATTTCAGTTTTCAACAAAGGAGACCGTACATCGCATTGGTATCTGTTATTGGCTGGTGAAGTGCAACTGTTTCTACCCGGTTACTATCCTGTAAGTCATACTCTTCTGTCTACTACTTTTATAGGGTCGTTAAGTAAGTTCGTGCAAGACACTTCTCCAGTTTAGGGATGGGACCATTGAGAATTGCCCATATCCCTCGCCATTTTGTTTTTATTCTTCTTATCTCTTGGGACTACCACTTAAGTTCGCCTTTCTCGGATGGGGATCGTTCGCCTGCCTAAAGAAGTTATCCCATTCCCTTGATCATTGAGCTCTCTGGGAGCAAGTCCACCC